AACCCTAAGCCCTGTGCAACTCCCTGACGAATGAAGGGGCCGGAACAATTTCCAATAGTACTCCCTTGTGATCCCTTTGTAATTATACTAGAATGATCCCCAAAGCACTATTCGAATAACCCTAAACCCTAAACCCTAAACCCTAAAGCCTATGGAAACCCGAAACCCCCATCTTCTCTGCAGGAACCCTTCGCCAGAGGTGCCGCGGAACGGAAAGGTGGTCTGCAGGTTGTAGGTTTGGGGCGGGGCGGCTTATAGGGCTAGGGTTTAGGGTTTAGGCTTTCGGGTTTAGGGTTTAGGGTTTCGGGTTTAGGGTTTAGGGTTTAGCGCTATACGGATCTTGAGAGGCCACCTACCCCAGAAGAGGGCGGGGGTCCAGGTAGGCCCTATGAGCCCATCTTGATGGGCTTTGGTTGTTGGGTTTAGGGTTTAGGGTAGTGTAGTTTGGGGTTTGGGGTTTAGGGCTTAGGGTTAAGGGTTTAGGGTTTAGGGTTTAGGGTTTAAGGTTTAAGGTTTAGGGCACCCGAAGTCTCCGCACGGCCGCATCTCGCAGCCATTCAGCGGCCCGGATCGTTCTACGGTTGCAAGAGATGGCGTCCGCGGCGGCGCCTGAGGCGAGACTGCCATGTTTCTGGAACCCTAAGGTTTAGGGTTTAGGGTTTAGGGGTCAGGGGTTTAGGGTTTAGGTTTATAAGGGTTTAGGGTTTAGGGTTTCGGTATACCCGAAACCACAAGCCCTAAAACTCTAAAAAACTCAAAACTCTAAAGCCCTAACAGACCCTAAAACCAAAACCCTAACACCCCCAAACCCTAACACCCTATAAAACCCTACAACCCTGTAAAACCCTAAAACACCCTACAGCACCCTAAAACCCCCAAAACCTAAAGCCCTAAGCCCTACCTTAATTGGTTCCCTTTAGGGTTGAGATTGTCCTGGTGCTTTTGGATGCAATGGTTCGGGTTTCGGGTTTAGGGTTTAGGGTTTAAGGTTTAGGCTTTAGGCTTGAGGGGATGGCTAAATTCCCAGAATTCCCTACCTTCAAACCCATCATTCCGGGTGTTAGGGGCTTGGGGTCGAAGAAGCCAGTCGGTAGGTGACAGTTCTCTCGGTCAAGCTGGCCAAGCCACCGCGAGAGCGCACGCGCAAAACTCGGCAGGCCAGAGCCATGGGACCTTGAATCAGGGTCTAGGGTTTACGGGTTAGGGTTTAGGGTTTAGGGTTTAGGGTTTAGGGTTTTCAGATAAACTCCGAAAAGACGCGCCCGCCTAAATCCCAAACTTCAAGAGGACGAAGCTTTCGAAGCTTCGAAGCCGATACCTCCATTGTTTTTGGAAGCCCCTTCCACAGATCAAAAACCGATAAACTATGGGTAATGACTTGACTTAGGGTTCAGTGTTCAGGGTTTGAGATTAGTTTGCCCATAAACGATGGGTAGTTACATGACTTAGGGTTTAGGCTTGAGGAATTCTGGGGGATGAAGAGTTAGCTTTAAAGCCTTGTTGGGGTCGCCTCTAGAACAGTAGGGCACATGTAAACAACCAAGACACAAGCAGGCAGCCTAATTTCGAATAACTACCCATCAGCACAGGCAAATGATCAGTTGAATCAGTTGGGGATGGAAAGCGTGCACTGCAGGGTCCAGGGTCTCGGGGTTGAGGGATGTCCGGTCAAGCAGAGTAGAGTCGCAGTTCAAACCCATCACTCGTGAAGCTAGAGCAGGGCGTTCGGGCACTGCCGGGGTTTTTCTGGGGCCTTTGGGGAGTTCATGCGCCTGGAGGCGGCAAAATGCTAGCCAGTTAGGGACCGACATGGTAGGGTTTAGGGTCTAGGGTTTAGGCTTTCAGAAGTTTAGGCATTTGGGTTTTAGGTTTCCCTAAACCCGTTGAACTAAACCCCTTTCCGGGCGGGGACTCGGCGGTTCTTGTTTGCAGGCAGAGCACCAGATTCAGAAGGACGTGGAAAGCGCGACTGAGAACAAGAAGGTGAAGAAGGAGGTCAAGGAGGAGGTAAGCAAGATCAAGGTGAAACAGGAGATGCCAAATGGGGGAAAGCAAGAGGTCGAGGAAGAGAACAAGAGTGGAACGGTAAAGGAGGAGGTGAAGGAAGAAGTGGGGGATGTGAAGCAGGATGTGAAGGAGGAGGTGAAGGAGGAGGTGAAGGAGGAGGTGAAGGAGGAGGTGAAGGAGGAGGGAGTGAAGAAGAAGTTGAAGGAGGAGGTGGGTGCCGTGAAGCAAGTGAAGACGGAGGTGAAGCAAGAGTTGGTGGAGGCACTCTCTCTCTGGCCTGCATCCCTACACCCTAATCCCTAAACCCTAAACCCTAAACCCTAAACCCTAAACCCTAGACCCTAGACCCTAGACCCTAGACCTGACTGGGGCTCAACACTTGAGAACGCTGTGCCCAGCGCCCAGAATTAAGGTTTCGTCTGTGTGTGTGTGTGTAAGAGCCTACTTAATCTAGGTAGGCCCTTAGGATATTCTTGATGTCCCTTTGTTTGGGTTGAAGAGGATCATATTCAGGCTCATATTTCAGAGGGATAATCTCATCTTTAATGCAGCTTTGCAAAGACAGTTCTAAAGCGTCTGCAGAGGGTAAGCCTCCTTTTTTTGCTGCGCCAACGCCGTGTCTTGAAGTTGACGTACAGTCGATTCACGCTATGGCTTCGGAAAAGTTTCAGAGGGATTCAATAAGGGCCGCCCTCGTAGCCTTAAACCCAAAACCTTGAACCTTCAGGGTTAGGGTGTAGGGTTTGGGTTTTGGGTTCAGGGTTTAGGGTTGAGGGTTTAGGGTCTAAGGGGCCACTGTGAGGAAGACCCGCTACGCCCCCTGACCCTTGTCAGAGGGGGTGCCGGCGATCAAGAAGCCCTTTAAAAAACCCTAAACCCTAAAGCATAAAGCCCTAATCCCTAAAACATAAAGCCCTAAACGCTAAACCCTAAACATAAAGCCCTTTAGAGCCCTAAACCCTAAATACATAACCCTGAACGCTAAACCCTAACTGCCCACCACTTGAGAACCCTGCGAACGCTCCCCTAAACCCTAAACCCTAAACCCTAAACCCTAAACCCTAAACCCTAAACCCTAAACCCTAAACCCTAAACCTTAAACCCTAAACCCTAAACCCTAATGAAGGACCCAAGCTTCGTGTGTGGTTCTTCGGGCTCCTGCAAGGGTTCGAAGTTGAGGGCTCAACCGTGGAAGTTCAGGGTTCGGCCTTGGAACTTGATGAAGAACCGACTTTTCTCAGAGCTGGTGCCGGAGGTCAAGAAGGAGGTAAGGCAAAACCCTAAACCCTAAACCCTAAACCCTACACCCTAAACCCTAAACCCTAAACCCTAAACCCTAAACCCTAAGCCCTAAACCCTAAACCCTAAACCCCAAGAGGTGAAGCAAGAAGTGAAGGCAGTGAAGCATGAGGTCAAGCAGGAGGCCGGCCTCCGTGTAGGGTCAGGCAGCTTAGGGTTTAGGGTTTAGGGTTTAGGGTTTAGGGTTTAGGGTTTAGGGTTTAGGGTTTAGGGTTTAGGGTTTAGGGTTTAGGGTTTAGGGTTTAGGGTTTAGGGTTTAGGGTTTAGGGTTTAGGGTTTAGTTTAGGGTTTAGGGTTTAGGGTTTAGGGTTTAGGGTTTAGGGTTTAGGGTTTAGGGTTTAGGGTTTAGGGTTTAGGGTTTAGGGTTTAGTGTTTAGGGTTTAGGGTTTAGGGTTTAGGAGCTTATATTGGAGCTTAACATTCCACGAGAGTCGGACAGAGCAACGCTTGGTGTTGTGCTAGCCGCGTTGACGCCAGGCCAAACAGAGGGTCTCCGACCTGGCCCCAGGCACAAACAAGAGACACGGCGAACTGTTTTGCGTGAGCCCCTGTGAACTGAACTAGCTTCCGTCAGCTGGATTTATATGCATCCTTTAGATATATAGCGTATATATATATATATACATGTATATCCATGTGAACATACATGTCTTTAAGACAGCATGAGAATCCAAACGACCAGCAACAGTTTCGGGATGTTGCGAGATGCAGCTAAATTTCGTGCAGGACCTCGCACGGAGAAGCCAGACGCTGCTCAGCTCTGTAAGTGTCGGCGACAGTGTCCCGTAAGATTTAGGGCTTAAGTTTAGGGTTTGGGTTTAGGGCTACTGGGGATGCTTTTTGTGCGGTTGCACGGTCAGATGGGCGCCGCTACATGGTCAGTCTCCCCTATGCAGCCTTGACATAACTATGACATACGCAAGCATTGTCCGAAGGGGCTTGCTTTCGAGATCCTCCATTGACACAGGAAGCCCCAAGCATTTCAATACAACAAGTATGTCTCCACTTCCTCCAGGATGAAGAGTGCAATTCGTTGGGGTCATTTCATGTTCTTACGCTGTGATTCGTCCCGTCACTTTGAGAGAATCCAGAATCTGCACCTTGCTGGTCCTTGCTGCGCATCGCAATGATTTTGTATACCATTTTGATAACCATGCGCATGAACTACAGAAATCGAGCAAGACGGGCCCCATCCCACGCTTTTGCCCAGGGCCGGAGTGAAGAGGGAACTTGTGGAGGAAGGCCAGCTGACGTGGTTCGTCAAGCAGGAAGAAGCTGAAGCGGCTGAGTCAGTTCGTCCCAGCAAGAGACGCCGCATCAGTCACAAGAGGCCAGTCATCTCGCCGTCATCGTTCGAGTCGCGAGTGCCAGAGTGGGCCGAGAAATGCCTAGCATTTCAAAGCTCTGGCAAGACGTGGCTCCCCACAAAGCCCTGCTGCCCGGCCAGCCCGTTCCTGGGGCTGGCTGCTGCCCCGTGGGAAGCATGCAAGGAGAATGAGGCGAAAGCGTGCGTGCAGCGTCTCAGCAAGGTGCAGTTCTGCGAGCTCCGCGACTTCTTCCACGAGAACCCGCACCATGCCCTCTTCAATGATTACGGCAAGGACTCCAGTGGTTCAGGGCCAGTGGAGAAGGCGCACGGCCCCAAACCTGAGCACTTGCAGGATCCAGCTGCGAAGCAGCACCGCGCAGCCGAGATGATGAAGATGTGGCCCTGGATGCACGACCTTCCGACGCGGGCTTGGGCCGGCCACGGCTGGCTGGTGGAGGAGGACGGCATGCGCAGGCTCTCGCCCACGGGCGGCGGCTCCGCCATGAAGGGCCTCGAGATCTTCGAGGCCTTCGGCACCGTGCCCGAAGAAAGCCAGGAAGCCCCCGGCGCCTCGGCTCCGAGCAGCTCCGGGGCCGCCGGCCAGGTCATTACGAGGAGCTTCCGCGGCCTGGAGCGCCAGAGCGGGGTGCAAGGCATCTGCTGGCACAAGCTGGGCCTTTGGCAGCTGTCTGTCCTGGAAGGCGGCAAGCGGCAGAGGATCACCTTCCCCATCTCCAAACATATGAAGGAGGGCCTCTCTGAGGACGAGGCGGTGGCGGCCGCGCTGGAGGAGGCCAAGGCGCACCGCGAGGAGCTGGTGCGCCAGGGCAAGCTGAAGCCCCCGAAGCCCGTCACAGCCAAAGCCTCCGGGTCCGCGGTGAGGGGCGTCAAGTACAACAAGAAGACGGGACGCTTTCAGGTCCAAATCACCAATCCGCACACTAAGAAGTACGCAGAAGGCGGCACCTTCCAGACGCTGGCGGAGGCCGAGGCCAAGGCGCGGGAGCTGGCCGAGAAGCTGGGACAGCGCGAGCAGGTGGTGCCGGTGGACCGGCTCGCGGAGGCCCCGCACTTCGAGCCGCTCGGGCCGGAGCCGGGAGTGAAGTGGATCCCCGGAGAGAAAGCCTGGCGTGCAAGAACGACTGTGGGAGGGAAAGAGAGGAACATGAGGTTCCGACCCAAGGACCTCTCGGAGAAGGAGGTGGAGAAGGCCTGGAAGCAGGCGGTGGCCTGGCGCAAGCAGCAGGAGAAGGAGAGGGAGCGGGCGGACCGAGCTCCAAAGCGCTGAAGGCCGAGGACTGAGGAGTGACGTCCTCCTGACGCGCAAGTCGTCGCATGTCGCCACATGCTGTGCCGACACTCGCGTATACCACGTCGAGTGGGGCTTTTAACCATATCTCTCTCACAAGGATCCCCGCCCTGCGTCAGTTTGCGGACACTCGACGAACACTAACATTGAGGACTAAATGAACCCTAAAAGGGTTTATGGTTCATATACCTTAATAGGAATTTTAGTACTCAGGGTATATGACCCCAATTTTAGGGTTCATTTCGTCCCTAAGGAACATTGAGCGCATTCGCGCCGGAAGATAGGGATCCCGGTCGCAAGCACACGCCTTTGCATTGAGTGGATGGCCACTCACCCTGCTGCTAGCCCTAAACCCCAAACCCCAAACCCTAAACCCTAAACCCTACACCCTAAACCCTCTGTTGTAGCAGAGCTTGACGTCCCCTATGTCCCTGATCTCTGGTTGAGGCACTAGAGGGAATCATGGGTTATCATACAGGCCTCATAATGCCCACCACTCACACCCAACGCTCTGCTCTTGTTAAGGGCATAACTTATAATTGGAACCCTAAACCCTAAGCCCTAAACCCTAAACCCTAAACCCTAAACCCCATGATGGTGTGCGCGTGTGGACTTGGAGCGGTGGTAAAAGAAGCCAAGGGTGGACATGCGGCATAGTAACCCGGTTAGTAGCCCTAGACCCGAAACCCTATAAGTCCTAAACCCAGGCTGTGAGCGCGAGGCTTCTAGAAGTAGCTCAGGGCTTGGGCTTTAAGAGCTAGAGTTTGATTAGGGTTTAGGGATTGTAGGGTTTAGCGTTCAAATCTAGTAAGCATTTTGTGTTTAACAATAGGGGTTTGTGTTCAGTCTTTATGCCTTAGGGGCTTAAGGAGCTGAGGATCCGGAGCCCTGAGCTGTAAGGCTGACCTGGCTCAGGCTGGCCAAGCAAGGGTTGGGGATCCCAAGGGGATCGCTCATACGCCTGCTCCTGTAACAGCAAACCCGAAACCCTCACCCCTAAACTGCCACCCTTCCCGCGAAACGAACGAGCGACCGACACACACACACACACACACACACACACACTTTCGCTGTCTCAAGAAGAGCCGATGAGTTAGGGGCCCCGGAAACCCTCCTGTGGTTCCGCGAATTGGACGAGCTGGGCCCTGAGGTGTGGATCCCGCGGTCGAGGGTTTACAGGGCTTAGGGCTTAATGAGGGTTTAGTAAGGAGGTTAGGGACCATTTTAAGGGACCATGAAACTACCCTAAGATTGAGAACCGTGTAAGAACCCTAAGCCCCATACCCCAAACCCTCAACTCTAAACCCTAAACCCTAAGATGAAGAGCCCTCTAAGCTTGCAGCAGCTTTCTTTTCTGACCCATCCTAGCCTCGACCTTCAGGCCGATAAGAAGCCCTAAACCCTAAACCCTAAACCCTAAACCCTAAACCCTAAACCCTAAACCCTAAACCCTAAACCTTCCAACCTCTAAGCCCCAAAACACGAAAACCGCGAAACCCTAAACTCGAAATACCCTAAACTCGAAATACCCTAAACCCTAAATACCCTACACCCTATAATCCCTAAACCCCAAACACCCAAAAAACTCCCTAAACTCGAAACACCCTAAACCCCAAATGCCCTAAACCCTAAACCCTAAACCCTAAACCCTAAACTCCAAATGCCCTAAACTCTGAAGATTTCGCAGAACACTCCCGGGGCATGAAGTTCTGGAACCTTCAAGCGTGGGGTTGAGGGTTTAGGGTTGGGGGGTTTAGGGTTTAGGGTTTAGGGTTTAGGGTTTAGGGTTTAGGGTTTAGGGTTTAGGGTTTAGGGTTTAGGGTTTAGGGTTTAGGGTGAGTTTGAGGCCTATGTTAAAGGTCTTATCCTGCAAGACCCTTTGCCTACAGCTTAGTCTACATAGCCGCCTTTTGGGAAACCCTAAACTTCGAAGACTTGGGATGTTCCTCCTTATATTAACAGTCCTTCATAGGATTGTAGCACCCCCTATTAAAATCTCTATGAAGGACTGTCATTATAACAGGGAACAGCCCAATCTAAGACTCTAAACAAGACATTGCAGGTATAACCAGGAGTACGTAAAACTCGTCGCGTTGCCCGGAACCCGAATCCAACACCCGAAACACCGAGCAACCTCGCAACTATATGGCATTTAGACCCTAAACCCTGTAAACCCTAAACCCTAAACCCTATAGCCTATACCCTATACCCTATAAACCCTAAACCCTAAACCTTATAACTAGGGCTTCTGGCGCTTGTAGGGCCATCTTCAAGCCGCACGCAGGGTTGCGGCTTAGAGGTTACAGGGTTAAGGGCCTACGGTTTAGGGTTTAGGGTTTAGGGTTTAGGGCCTACGTTATCCCGCCCTGAATGACTCGTCCAGCACGAAATGAGACCAAAATGACCCTCAAGCAAGCCTCACGGGGGCCTTACATCCTAGGAACAACAAAAATGTATGCGAACAGAAACGAAAATGTACTCACGAAACAAAGACTACGCGAACTTGACAACAATGTACCCGGGCTGCGACAACTAGACAAAAGGACCTGTTCGAAACCCCAAACCCTAAACCCCTAAACCCTAAAGCCCTAAACCCCCAAAACCCGAAACCCGAAACCCACACCCCAAACCGGACAGTGCACGCCCCAACAAGAGATTGAGGCGCTTCTCGTCCCGAACGGACCATGTCCAGCGGGTCCTGCTTCTCGAACAAGGCTTCACAGCACCAGGGTTTAGGGTTCATAGGGTTCATAGGGTTCATAGGGTTCATGGGGTTCATGGGGTTCATAGGCTTCATAGGGTTCATAGGGTTCATGGGGTTCATAGGGTTCATGGGGTTCATGGGGTTCATGGGGTTCATGGGGTTCATGGGGTTCATGCGGTTCATGGGGTTCATGGGGTTTGGGGTTTGGGGTTTAGGGTTTAGGGTTTGTAGGGTTTAAGGTTTACAGGGTTTAGGGCCCTGTGCTCCAGCATCCTAAGCCTTAAGCCCTCAAATAAGACCCCCTAGTTGAACCCAAAAAAGTGCCGTAACTCATCCTGCTGCGCCTCAGACCTTGAACCCACAAACTTTGTTGGGCTTTCGGGGTCTCGGCTTAAAGGGGTTATAGGGTTTAGGGTTAGGGTTAGGTTTTAGGGTTTAGGGTTTAGGGTTATAAGGGTTAATTATTAGGGCTATTAGGGTTATTGGGGCTAGTAGGGTTGCTAGGGCTGTTAGGGTCTAGGGTTCAGGGTTTAGTGAATCCTAAACCCTAAACACTTTCCAATTCCCAGACCCTAAGAACCCCAATGCCTCGGAAGTTCTGCCGGACAAACCTTTTAGTGATCCTAGGGTTAGGGGTTTAGGGTTTAGGGTTTAGGGTTTAGGGTTTAGGGTTTAGGGTTTAGGGTTTAGGGTTTAGGGTTTAGGGTTTGGTAGATGCCCTGAACGACGCGGAGCGTGCCCTGTCTCCCTGAGCCCGAAGACTTATGTTCCTAAATTACTAAACCCTCACAACCTTACATGCGCTACAAGCTCCAATATCCTTCAACGTATCCTTCCGACGAGAGAAAATTGCATGCTCACTTCACAAGGCCTTTAAGGGTGTAGAATTTACGCAGTTTGAGTTTAGGGCTCGGCAGAGATTATCGGTTTCAGGGTTGAAGGTTTGTGTTAAGAGTTCTAAACCCAAACCCTGAGCTCTTGTGAAGTTGTTCCGGGCTCAGGGCTTTAGGGCTTCAGGGGCTCCAAACCCTAAACCCTAAACCCTAAACCCTAAACCCTAACTCCTAAACCCTAAACCCTAAACCCTAAATTCGAGCCGCCCCCCCTAACCCCGAACCCCTAGGGTTAGCAACCAGCCCAAACCCTAAACCCTAAACCCTAAACCCTAAACCCTAAACCCTAAACCCTAAACCCTAAACCCTAAACCCTAAACCCTAAACCCTAAACCCTAAACCCTAAACCCTAAACCCTAAACCCTAAACCCTAAACCCTATCCCCCTAACCCCTAAACCCTAGGTTTCGCAACCAGCCCATCCTGCAGGTGACAGTGCTCTCGGTCAAGCTGGCCAAGCCACGGCGAGAGCGCACGCGCAAACTTCGGCAGGCCTGGCCGTCGGACCTTGAATTTTGGGGTTCAGGGTTTAGGGTTTAGGGTTTAGGATTTAGGGTTCAGGGTTTAGGGTTTAGGGTTTAGGTTTAGGGATGAGGGTCTGAGGGTCTAGGGTTTCAGGTAAACTCTGTATAGGCCCGCCAAGATGCTAACCTTGAATTAGGGCTTAGGTTTCAGGGTTTGGGCCTTTGAAGAGTTCCTTCGCCTGGAGGAGGAGGGAAGATGCTTGCCAGTTAGGAACGGACCTGCTAAGTTTTCGGGTGAGGGTTTGTGGCTTAGGGTTTAGGGTTTCCCTAGACTCGTTAAAGCCCTGAACCCCTTTCCGGGAGGGGACTCGGCGGTTCTTATTTGCAGGCAGAGCACCCGATGCAGAAGGAGGTGGGAAGCGGGACGGAGAACAAGAAGGTGAAGAAGGAGGTGAAGGAGGAGGTAAGCAAGATCAAGGTGAAACAGGAGATGCCACAGGGGGCAAAGCAAGAGGTCAAGGAAGAGAGCAAGACTGGAGCGATGAAGGAGGAGGTGAAGGAAGAAGCGATGCACGAGGTGAAGGAGGAACCAAGGGAGGGAGTGAAGGGCAAGTTGAAGCAGGAGGTGGGTGACGTGAAGCAAGTGAAGACGGAGGTGAAGCAAGAGTTGATGGAGGCGCCCTCTCTGGGCTGCGTCCCTAAACCCTAAGCCCTAAACCCTAGACCCTATAGACCCTAGACCTGACTGGGGCTCAACACTTGAGAACGCTGTGCCAAGCGCCCAGAATTAAGGTTTTCGTCTCTCTGTGTGTGTGTGTGTGAGAGCCCCGGAATGACGATAAGAGCCTACTTAATCTAGGTAGGCCCTTAGGATATTCTTGATGTCCCTTTGTTTGGGTTGAAGAGTATCATATTCAGGCTCATATTTCAGAGGGATAGTCTCATCTATAATGCAGGTTTGCAAAGACAGTTCTAAAGCGTCTGCAGAGGGTAAGCCTCCTTTTTGCTGCGCCAACGCCATGTCTTGAAGTTGACGTACAGTCGATTCACGGTATGGCTTCGGAAAAATTTCAGAGGGATTCAATAAGGGCCGTCCTCGTAACCTTAAACCCAAAACCCTGAACCTTCAGGGTTAGGGTGTAGGGTTTAGGGTTGAGGGTTTAGGGTTTAGGGTTAGGGTTGAGGGTCTAAGGGGCCACTGTGATGAAGACCCGCTACGCCCCCTGACCCTTTTCAGAGGCATTGCCGGAGATCAAGAAGCCCTTTAAAAACCCTAAAGCATAAAGCCCTAAAACATAAAGCCCTAAACGCTAAACACTAAACCATAAAGCCCTTTAAAGCCCCATAAAGCCCTAAACGCTAAACCCTATCCCTCTCTGGTGCCCACCACTTGAGAACCCTGCGCCCGCTCCCCTAAACCCTAAACCCTAAACCCTAAGCCCTAAACCCTAAGCCCTAAGCCCTAAGCCTTAAGCCCTAAGCCCTAAACCCTAATGAAGGGCCCAAGCTTCGTGTGTGGTTCTTCGGGCTCCTGCAAGGGTTAGAAGTTGAGGGCTCAACCGTGGAAGTTCAGGGTTCGGCCTTGGAACTTGATGAAGACCCGACTCTTCTCAGAGCTGGTGCCGGAGGTCAAGAAGGAGGTGAAGCAAGAAGTGAAGCAAGAATTGAAGCATGAGGTCAAGCAGGAGGCCGGCATCCGTGTAGGGTCAGTCAGCTTAGGGTTTAGGGTTTGGGTTTAGGGTTTAGGGTTTAGGGTTTAGGGTTTAGTGTTTAGGGTTTAGGGTTTAGGGTTTAGGGGTTAGGGTTTAGGGTTTAGGAGCTTATATTGGAGCTTAACATTCCACGAGAGTGGGACAGAGCAACGCTTTGTGTTGTGCTAGCCACGTTGACGCCAGGCACAAGAGACACGGCGTATTGTTTTGCGTGAGCCCCTGTGAACTGAACTAGTTTCCGTCAGCTGGATGTATTTGCATCCTTTAGATATACAGCGTATGTATCATACATATCCGCACACATATATATATATGTATATCCATATGAACGTACATGTCTTTAAGACAGCAACAGTTGCGGGATGTTGCGAGATGCAGCTAAATTTCGTGCAGGACCTCGCACGGAGAAGCCAGACGCTGCTCAGCTCTGTAAGTTTCGGCGACAGTGTCCCGTAAGATTTAGGGCTTAAGTTTAGGGTTTGGGTTTAGGGCTACTGGGGATGCTTTCTGTGCGGTTGCACGGTCAGATGGGCGCCGCTACATGGTCAGTCTCCCCTATGCAGCCTTGACATAACTATGACATACGCAAGCATTGTCCGAAGGGGCTTGCTTTCGAGATCCTCCATTGACACAAGAAGCCCCAAGCCTTGCAATACGACAAGTATGTCTCCACTTCCTCCAGGATGAAGAGTGCAATTCGTTGGGGTCATTTCATGTTCTTACGCTGTGATTCGTCCCGTCACTTTGAGAGAATCCAGAATCTGCACCTTGCTGGTCCTTGCTGAGCATCGCGTGTCACTCATGCCTAATGATTTTGTATACCATTTTGATAACCGTGCGCATGAACTACAGAAATCGAGCAAGACGGGCCCCATCCCACGCTTTTGCCCAGGGCCGGAGTGAAGAGGGAACTTGTGGAGGAAGGCCAGCTGACGCGGTTCGTCAAGCAGGAAGAAGCTGAAGAGGCTGAGTCAGTTCGTCCCAGCAAGAGACGCCGCATCAGTCACAAGAGGCCAGTCATCTCGCCTCCATCGTTTGAGTCGCGACTGCCAGAGTGGGCCGAGAAATGCCTAGCATTTCAATCCTCTGGCAAGACGTGGCTGCCCACGAAGCCTTGCTGCCCCGCCAGCCCGTTCCTCGGACTGGCAGCTGCCACGTGGCAAGGATGCCCGGAGAAGGAGGCAACGGCATGCGTGCAGCGCCTCAGCAAGGTGCAGTTCTGCGAGTTCCGGGACTTCTTCCACGAGTACCCGCACCATGCCCTCTTCAATGATTACGGCAAGGACTCCAGTGGTTCAGGGCCAGTGGAGCAGGCGCACGGTCCCAAACCTGAGCACTTGCAGGATCCAGCTGCGAAGCAGCACCGCGCTGCCGAGATGATGAAGATGTGGCCCTGGATGCACGACCTTCCGACGCGGGCGTGGGCCGGCCACGGCTGGCTGGTGGAGGAGGACGGCATGCGCAGGCTCTCGCCCACGGGAGGTGGCTCCGCCATGAAGGGCCTCGAGATCTTCGAGGCCTTCGGCACCGTGCCCGAAGAAAGCCCGGCAGCCCCCGGCGCCTCGGCTCCGAGCAGCTCCGGGGCCGCCGGCCAGGTCATTACGAGGAGCTTCCGCGGCCTGGAGCGCCAGAGCGGGGTGCAAGGCATTTGCTGGCACAAGCTGGGCCTTTGGCAGCTGTCTGTCCTGGAAGGCGGCAAGCGGCAGAGGATCACCTTCCCCATCTCCAAACATATGAAGGAGGGCCTCTCCGAGGACGAGGCGGTGGCGGCCGCGCTGGGTGAGGCCAAGGCGCACCGCGAGGAGCTGGTGCGCCAGGGCAAGCTGAAGCCCCCGAAGCCCGTCACCGCCAAAGCCACCGGGTCCACGGTGAGAGGCGTCAAACACAACACAGGAGGAACTTTTCGGGTCGTACTCACGAATCCGCAGACCAAGAAGTTGGAGCGAGGTGGCACCTTCAAGACGCTGGCGGAGGCCGAGGCCAAGGCGCGGGAGATGGCCAAGAAGCTCGGGCTCCAAGCCGAGGGCGGGGTGGTGCCGGTGGACCGGCTCGCGGAGGCCCCGCACTTCGAGCCGCTCGGGCCGGAGCCGGGAGTGAGGTGGATCCTCGGAGAGAAGGGCTGGCGTGCAACCTGCATGGTCGGAGGGAAGCAGAGGAACATGAGGTTCCGGCCCAAGGACTTCTCGGAGAAGGAGGTGGAGAAGGCCTGGAAGCAGGCGGTGGCCTGGCGCAAGCAGCAGGAGAAGGAGAGGGAGCGGGCGGACCGAGCTCCAAAGCGCTGAAGGCCGAGGACTGAGGAGTGACGTCCTCCTGACGAGCAAGTCGTCGCATGTCGCCACATGCTGTGCCGCCACTCGCGTATACCACGTCGAGTGGGGCTTTTAACCATATCTCTCTCACAAGGATCCCCGCCTTGCGTCAGTAGGCGGACACTCGACGAACACTAACATTGAGTGCATTCGCGCACTTCCGCAAGCACACGCCTTTGCATTGAGTGGATGGCCACTCACCCTGCTGCTAGCCCGAAACCCCAAACCCAAAACCCTAAATCCTAAACCCTCTGTTGTATCAGACCTTTATGTCCCCTATGTCCCTGATCTCTGGTTGAGGCACTAGAAGGAATCATGGGCCCTCATACAGGCCACACCCAACGCTCTGCTATTGTTAAGGGCATAACTTATGATTGGAATCCTAAACCCTAAACCCGAAACCCTAAACCCTAAACCCCATGATGGTGTGCGCGTGTGGACCTGGAGCGGTGGTAAAAGCCAAGGGTGGACATGCGGCATAGTAACCCGGTTAGTAGCCCTAGACCCTAAACCCAGGCTGTGAGCGCGAGGCTTCTAGAAGTAGCTCAGGGGGTTGGGCTTTAAGAGCTAGGGTTTGATTAGGGTTGAGGGATTTTAGGGTTTAGGGTTTAAAATCATTTTTGGGGTTTAGGGTTTAACGTCCAGTAAGCATTTTGTGTGTAACTATAGGGTTTGGGTTTAGGCTTTAGGCCTTAGGGGCTTGTGGGGCTGAGGATCCGAAGCCCTGAGCTGTAAAGGTTGACCTGGCTTCAGGCCAAGGGTTGGGGATCCCAAGGGGATTAGGGTTTAGGGTTTAGGGTTTAGGGTTTAGGGTTTAGGGTTTAGGGTTTAGGGCCTGTAGCAGCAAACCCTAGACCGCCACCCTTCCCGCTCCGCGCTCCCTGAAACGAACCTTTGTGGTACTTTACCGTAACTTTAGATTACCTTTTTTGGGTTTATTGGGTTTCTTAGTAAGGCAGCTAAAAGTTTAATTTATAGCTACCCTCCTGAGTGCAGCCAAGCACACACACACACATTCTTTCGCTGTCTCAAGAAGAAACCGATGAGTTAGGGGCCCCGGAAACCCTCCTGTGGTTCCGCGAATTGGACGAGCTGGGCCCTCAGGTGTGGATCCCGCGGTAGGGCGGTTATTGGGCTTAATTATAGGGTTTAGGGTTCAAGGTTCCTTTTGGGGTTTAGTAAGGAGCTTTTTGGGGTTTAGGGTTTAGTAAGGAGGTTAGGGACCATCTTGAATCTACCCTAAGAGCAAGAGCCCTCTAAGCTTGCAGCAGCTGTCTAGGATTGGCATCGACCTTCAGGGCGATAAGAGGACCCTAAGCCCTAAACCCTAAACCCTAAACCCTAAACCCTAAACCCTAAACCCCACCTTACAATCCCTAAGCCCCAAACATTAAAACCCCTCAACCCTAAACTTCTAAATGACCTAAACTCTAAATGCCCTACACCCTAAATACCCTAAACTCTATTCACGCATATGTGTGCAGACGATTTCGCAGAACACTCCCCGGGGCGCCAAGCCCTCGAACCTTCAAGCGTGGGGTTGAGGGTTGAGGGTTGAGGGTTTAGGGTTTAGGGTTTAGGGAGTCCGATGAGGCGAACTTGAGGCCTATTTGAGAGGCCTACAACTATCCTGCAAGACCGTTTGCCTACAGTTTCGTCTACACAGGTGCCTCTTGGGAAACCCTAGGGATTATAGTACCCCCAATTATAATCCCTATAAGGACTGCTAGTATACAAGGCACCCTGACACTCTAGACCATACATTGCAGGTATAGCCAGGAGTATGTAAAACTCGTCGCGTTGCCCGGAACCCGATTCCAACACCCGAAACGCCCGGCACTGCAACCTCACGACTCTATATAGCGTGTAAACCCTAAGCCCTATAAACCCTAAACCCTAAACCTTCTTACTACGGCTTCTGGCGCTTGTAGGAAAACCTTGAAGCCGCAAGGACGGTTTGCAGCTTAGAGGCTACAGGGTTTAGGGCCTATGCTGGCCCCGTGAAGGACCCCTCTAGCACAAAATGAGACCCGAATAACCTCCAAGCAAGCCTCACAGGGGCCTGAAACCCTAGGATCAATAGCATGTATCCGAACAAAAACGTAAAACTAGCCACGAAACAAAGACTACGCGAACTTGACGACAATGTACCCGGGCTGCGACAACTAAATAACATCACCTGTTCGCATTCGCTAGTAAACCGTAAACCCTAAACCCTAAACCCTAAAACCCTGAACCCTAAAACCCAAATCCCCCCACAACCCTAACAACCTAAAACCCTAAGTCCCAAACCCCAAACCGGAAAGCGCACGCCCCAACAAGAGATCGAGGCGCTTCTCGTCCCGAAAGGACCATGCCCAGCGGGTCCTGCCTCACTGACAAGGCTTGGCAGCACCAGGGTTAAGGGTTCATAGGGTTCAGAGGGTTTAGGATTCAGGGTTCATAGGGTTTAGGTTTTGGGGTTTGGGGTTTAGGGTTTAGGGTTTGTAGGGTTTAAGGTTTACAGGGTTTAGGGCCCTATGCTCCAGCATCCTAAGCCTTAAGCCCTCAAGTGAGACCCTTAAGCCATTGAACCCCAAAGCCAGGAATCCCCAGCGCCGTAACTCATTCTGGTTCGCCCCAGACCTTGAGCCTACAAGCTTTGTTGGGCTGCCGGGGTCTCGGCTTAAAGGGGTTATAGGGTTTAGGGTTAGGATTAGGTTTTAGGGTTTAGGGTTTAGGGTTATAAGGGTTATTAGGGCTATTAGGGTTATTGGGGCTAGTAAGGTTGCTAGGGTTGTTAGGGTTTAGGGTTTAGGGTTCAGGGTTTAGTGACTCCTAAACCCTAAACACTTTCCAATTCCCAGACCCTAAGAACCCCAATGCCTCGGAAGTTCTGCCGGACAAACCTTTTAGTGATCCTAGATGCCCTGAACGACGCGGAGCGTGCCCTGCCTCCCTGAGCCCGAAGACTTATGTTCCTAAATTACTACACCCTCACAACCTTACATGCGCTACAAGCTCCAATATCCTTCAACGTATCCTTCAGACGAGAGTAAATTGCATGCTCACTTCACAAGGCCTTTGAGGGTGTAGAATTTGCGCAGTTTGAGTTTAGGGCTCGGCAGAGATTATCGGTTTCAGGGTCGTGTGAAGAGCCCTAAACCCTACACCCTGAGCTCTTGTGAAGTTGTTCCGGACTCAGGGCTTTAGGGCTTCAGGGACTCCAAACCCTACACCCTAAACCCTAAACCCTAAACCCTAAACCCTAGACCCTAAACCCTAAACCCTAAACCCTAAACCCTAAACCCTAAACCCTAGATTCGAGTCGTCCCCCTAAACCCTAAACCTGAGGGTGGGTAACCAGCCCGTACTGCAGGTGACAGTGCTCTCGGTCAAGCTGGCCAAGCCACGGCGAGAGCGCACGCGCAAACTTCGGCAGGCCTGGCCATCGGACCTTGAATTATAGGGTTCAGGGTTTAGGGTTTAGGGTTTAGGGATTAGGGTCTAGGGTTTCAGGTAAACTCTGTATAGGCCCGCCTAGATGCTAAACTTCAAGAGGACAAAGCTTTCCAAGCTTCAAGACCGATACCTCCAATTTTTTTGGAAGGCCCTTCCACAGATCAAAACCGATAAACTATGGGTAATGATTTGACTTAGGGTTCAGTGTTCAGGGGTTTGGGATTAGTTTTACCGCCTTTTTGGGGTCGCCTATAAAATAGTATGGCACATTTCATCTGGACACAAGAAGAATCTTAATTTAGAGAAGTATTATCAGCTTGGAGCGCTAAAGCCTAAACCCTAAACCCTCAAGCCAGAAGCTAGAGCAGGGCGTTCGGGCACGGACTTGGTTGTGAGGGTTAGGGTTCAGGGTTTGGGCCTTTGAAGAGTTCCTTCGCCTGGAGGAAGCGGGAAGATGCTTGCCAGTTAGGAACGGACCTGCTAAGTTTTAGGGTTGGAGGTTTAGGGTTTAGGGTTTCCCTAGACTCGTTAAAGCCCTGAACCCCTTTCCGGGAGGGGACTCGGCGGTTCTTATTTGCAGGCAGATCACCCGATGCAGCAGGAGGCGGGAAGTGGGACGGAGAACACGAAGGTGAAGAAGGAGGTGAAGCAGGAGGTATGCAAGATCAAGGTGAAGCAGGAGATGCCAAAGGGGGCAAAGCAAGAGCTCAAGGAAGAGAACAAGACTGGAACGATGAAGGAGGAGGTGAAGGAGGAAGTGAGGGGCGTCAAGGAGGGAGTGAAGGAGGAGGTGAAGGAGAAAGCGATGCAGGAGGTGAAGGAGGAGACAAAGGAGGGAGACAAGGACAAGTTGAAGGAGGAGGTGGGTGCCGTGAAGCAAGTGAAGACGGAGGTGAAGCAAGAGTTGGTGGAGGCACTCTCTCTGGCCTGCATCCTCTGGCCTGCATCCCTACACCCTAAACCCGAAACCCTAGACCCTAGACCTGACTGGGGCTCAACACTTGAGAACGCTGTGCCAAGCGCCCAGAATTAAGGTTTTCGTCTCTGTGTGTGTGTGTGGGTGTGTGTGAGAGCCCCGGAATGACGATAAGAGCCTACTTAATCTAGGTAGGCCTTTAGGATATTCTTGATGTCCCTTTGTTTGGGTTGAAGAGGATCATATTCAGGCTCATGTTTCAGAGGGAGGTTTGCAAACACAGTTCTAAAGCGTCTGCAGAGGGCAAGCCTCCTTTTTGCTGCCCCAACGCCGTGTCTTGAAGTTGACGTACAGTCGATTCACCGTATGGCTTCGGAAAAATTTCAGAGGGATTCAATAAGGGCCGTCCTTTTAACCTTAAAAGCCCTAAACCTTCAGGGTTAGGGTGTAGGGTTTAGGGTTTAGGGTTTAGGGTTTAGGGTTTAGGGTTTAGGGTTTAGGGTTTAGGGTTTAGGGTTTAGGGTTTAAGGGGCCCCTGTGATGAAGACCCGCTACGCCCCCTGACCCTTGTCCGAGGCATTGCCGGAGATCAAGAAGCCCTTTAAAAACCCTAAACCCTAAAGCATAAAGCCCTAAACCCTAAAACATAAAGCCCTAAACGCTAAACCCTAAACATAAAGCCCTTTAAAGCCCTAAACCCTAAAACATATAACCCTGAACGCTAAACCCTAACATTCTGGTGCCCACCACTTGAGAACCCTGCGCCCGCTCCCCTAAACCCTAAACCCTAAACCCAAAACCCTAATGAAGGACCCAAGCTTCGTGTGTGGTTCTTTGGGCTCCTGCAAGGGTTAGAAGTTTTGGGCTCAACCGTGGAAGTTCAGGGTTCGGCCTTGGAACTTGATGAAGACCCGACTCTTCTCAGAGCTGGTGCCGGAGGTCAAGAAGGAGGTAAGGCAAAACCCTAAACCCTAAACCCTAAACCCTAGACCCTAAACCCTAAACCCTAAACCCTAAACCCTAAACCCCAAGAAGTGAAGCAAGAAGTGAAGGCAGTGAAGCATGAGGTCAAGCAGGAGGCCTGCTTCCGTGTGGCGTCGGGCAGCCCGTAGGTTACAGTGCGAGCGTTGGTTAAGAATGTGCAAGGGTCAGGTTAGGGGGGGGCTCAGATTCTTAACTAGAGAACGACTTGTTCAGTGTGCATTTTGATGTTCTTCCGGCTTCAGGGGGTGCTCAGATTCTTAGCACATTCTTAAGTGGGATTCGAGCCAGCATCCTTACGTCTTAAGGAAGACGCTGTAGCAACTAGCCCGAAGCATTCTTGCGCACGTAACTCTGCTGTGGGGCTGTGCACAGCTTTCGCAAGCCAAGAATCTGAGGGGCTCAGATTCTTAGCGAGCTAAGAATCTGAGGTTCTGAGATTCTTAGCGATCTAAGAATCTGAGCCCCTCAGATTCTTACTCTGGAGGTTTCTGAGGTTTGAACTCAATCGCTTGAGCTTTTTCTGATTGTTTGGGGCCAAAGCTTGACAAGCTATGAATCTGAGGAAATCAAGTTCTTAGTTGGGGGTTTCTGTGATTTGGGCCTGCTTGTGCAAAAGCTTACAAGCTAAGAAATTGAGGGGCTCAGATTGGGCTCAGGGAAGCAGCTTGCTGGGGGGAATTTGGGGTTCCCACCTAGTTCCGCACATTTCCCGCCCAGTTCCGCCCAATTCCCGCCCAGTTCCGCCAAGATTCTGGGGTGATTTGTTTGACGTTTTTGTTGAACATTGTAATTTGGGGCACATACTTGCTGATTTGCGGATCCTTGACCAGAACATCTCCATCAAATCTGCCAACGTTCTATTGCAGACTAAATATATCTGCTTAGATCCAGCAAGCACGCAGAATCAGCACCTACTTTGTAGGCTTTAAAGAAGAGGCGTGGACATCATCATCATCATCATCATCATCATCATCATCATCATCATCATCATCATCATCATCATCATCATCATCATCACCGCCATCACCATCACATTCGGATGAAACAAAATCTTGAGTCAACTGCACGTCAAGAGTAGTGGCAATGCAATGTGGTGCACTGTAGCAAATACAATGCACATGCCAACTTAGCTTCATCAGCAAGTGCTGAATGGCTGAGCCAAAGCTATCACTGCGCGCAAGCTGTGCATCGTTCCTGCATTCCACCAGCACGCCCGGGGAAAGAAAACGAAAAATCAGGTTCTGACCAATTCAACCCTACACCGGGCCTAAACGCCAGGTTCCGCCCAGTTCGCAAGCTGAAAATCAAGTTCCGCCCAACTCCGGTCTAAACCAGAACTTTCAGATTGGACTGAAAAAGCATGGTTTAGAAGATCCAGGTGTATATATGTAAATATATATATATATATATACATATATGTGTGTATATCCATATGAACGTACATGTCTTTAAGACAGCAGGAGAATCCACACGACCAGCAACAGTTGCGGGATGTTGCGAGATGCAGCTAAATTTCGTGCAGGACCTCGCGCGGAGAAGCCAGACGCTGCTCAGCTCTGTAAGTTTCGGCGACAGTGTCCCATAAGATTTAGGGCTTAAGTTTAGGGTTTGGGTACAGGGCTACTGGGGATGCTTTTTTTGTGCGGTTGCACGGTCAGACGGGCGCTACATGGTCAGTCTCCCCTATGCAGCCTTGACATAACTATGACATACGCAAGCATTGTCCGAAGGGGCTTGCTTTCGAGATCCTCCATTGACACAAGAAGCCCCAAGCCTTTCATGACAACAAGTATGTCTCCACTTCCTCCAGGATGAAGAGTGCAATTCGTTGGGGTCATTTCATGTTCTTAGGCTGTGATTCGTCCCGTCACTTTGAGAGAATCCAGAATCTGCACCTTGCTGGTCCTTGCTGCGCATCGCGTGTCACGCATGCCTAATGATTTTGTATACCATTTTGATAACCATGCGCATGAACTACAGAAATCGAGCAAGACGGGCCCCATCCCACGCTTCTGCCCAGGGCCGGAGTGAAGAGGGAACTTGTGGAGGAAGGCCAGCTGGCGTGGTTCGTCAAGCAGGAAGAAGCTGAAGAGGCTGAGTCAGTTCGTCCCAGCAAGAGACGCCGCATCAGTCACAAGAGGCCAGACATCTCGCCTCCATCGTTCGAGTCGCGAGTGCCAGAGTGGGCCGAGAAATGCCTAGCATTTCAAAGCTCTGGCAAGACGTGGCTCCCCACAAAGCCCTGCTGCCCGGCCAGCCCGTTCCTGGGGCTGGCTGCTGCCCCGTGGGAAGGATGCAAGGAGAATGAGGCGAAAGCGTGCATGCAGCGTCTCAGCAAGGTGCAGTTCTGCGAGTTTCGGGACTTCTTCTACGACAACCCGCACCATGCCCTCTTCAATGATCACGGCAAGGACTCCAGTGGTTCAGGGCCAGTGGAGAAGGCGCACGGTCCCCAACCTGAGCACTTGCAGGATGCAGCTGCGAAGCAGCACCGCGCAGCCGAGATGATGAAGATGTGGCCCTGGATGCACGACCTTCCGACGCGGGCATGGGCCGGCCACGGCTGGCTGGTGGAGGAGGACGGCATGCGCAGGCTCTCGCCCACGGGCGGCGGCTCCGCCATGAAGGGCCTCGAGATCTTCGAGGCCTTCGGCACCGTGCCCGAGGAAAGCCAGGAAGCCGCCGGCGCCTCGGCTCCAAGCGGCTTCTGGGCCGCCGGCCAGGTCCTTACGAAAAAATTCCGCGGCCTGGAGCGCCAGAGCGGGGTGCAGGGCATCAGCTGGCACAGGACGAGGATGTACTGGCAGGTCTCCTTCCAGAAAGCCGGCAAGCAGCAGCGGGTCAACTTCCCCGTCTCTGAGCACATCAAGGAGGGCCTCTCTGAGGACGAGGCGGTGGCGGCCGCGCTCGAGGAGGCCAAGGCGCACCGCGAGGAGCTGGTGCGCCAGGGCAAGCTGCAGCCCCCGAAGCCCATCAACGCCAAAGCCACCGGGTCCGCGGTGAGGGGCGTTATTAGCAACACTGGAGGAACCTTTCGGGTCCAAATTGTCAATCCGCGCACAAAGAAGAGGGAGGATGGTGGCACCTTCAAGACGCTGGCGGAGGCCGAGGCCAAGGCGCGGGAGATGGCCAAGAAGCTCGGGCTCCAAGCCGAGGGCGGGGTGGTGCCGGTGGACCGGCTCGCGGAGGTCCCGCACTTCGAGCCGCTCGGGCCGGAGAAGAATGTGAGGTGGAGGCAGGGTGCGCAGCATTGGCGAGCCACGTACCGAGTCAACGGCAAGCAGCGAAATTTCACCGTGAAGCCCAAGGACTATTCGGAGAAGGAGGTGGAGAAGGCCTGGAAGCAGGCGGTGGCCTGGCGCAAGCAGCAGGAGAAGGAGAGGGAGCGGGCGGACCGAGCTCCAAAGCGCTGAAGGCCGAGGACTGAGGAGGGGCGTCCTCCTGACGCGCAAGTCGTCGCATGTCGCCACATGCTGTGCCGCCACTCGCGTATACCACGTCGAATGTGGGACTTTTAACCACATCTCTCTCACTTGGATCCCCGCCCTGCGTCAGTTTGCGGACACTCCACGAACACTAACATTGAGGACTAAATGAACCCTAAAAGGGTTTATGGTTCATATACCTTAATAGGAATTATAGTACTCAGGGTATATGACCCCTAAATGAACCCTAAAAGGGTTTATGGTTCATATACCTTAATAGGAATTATAGTACTCAGGGTATATGACCCCAATTTTAGGGTTCATTTCGTCCCTAAGGAACATTGAGCGCATTCGCGCCGGAAGATCGGGATGCCGGTCGCAAGCACACGCCTTTGCATTGAGTGGGTGGCCACTCACCCTGCTGCTAGCCCTAAACCCTAAACCCTAAACCCTAAACCCTAAACCCTAAACCCTAAACCCTAAACCCTAAACCCTAAACCCTCTGTTGCATCAGACCTTGACGTCCCCTATGTCCCTGATCTCTGGTTGAGGCACTAGAGGGAATCATGGGTTATCATACAGGCCTCATAATGCCCACCACTCACACCCAACGCTCTGCTCTTGTTAAGGGCATAACTTATAATTGGAACCCTAAACCCTAAGCCCTAACCCTAAACCCTAAACCCTAAACCCTAAACCCTAAACCCTAAACCCTAAACCCCATGATGGTGTGCGCGTGTGGACTTGGAGCGGTGGTAAAAGAAGCCAAGGGTGGACATGCGGCATAGTAACCCGGTTAGTAGCCCTAGACCCGAAACCCTATAAGTCCTAAACCCAGGCTGTGAGCGCGAGGCTTCTAGAAGTAGCCCAGGGGTTGGGCTTTAAGAGCTAGAGTTTGATTAGGGTTTAGGGATTTTAGGGTTTAGATTAAAATCTAGTAAGCATTTTGTGTTTAACAATAGGGGTTTGTGTTTAGTCTTTAGGCCTTAGGGGCTTAAGGGGCTGAGGATCCGAAGCCCTGAGCTGTAAGGCTGACCTGGCTTCAGGCAGGCCAAGGGTTGGGGATCCCAAGGGGATCGCTCATACGCCTGCTCTTGTAACAGCAAGCCCTAAACCCTCACCCCTAAACCGCCACCCTTCCCGCTCCGCGCTCCCTGAAACAAACTTGAACGAACGACACATACACACACACACATTTTCTTTCGCTGTCTCAAGAAGAGCCGATGAGTTCGGGGCCCCGGAAACCCTCCTGTGGTTCCGCGAATTGGACGAGCTGGGCCCTCAGGTGTGGATCCCGCGGTCGAGGGTTTACAGGGCTTAGGGCTTAATGAGGGTTTAGTAAGGAGGTTAGGGACCATTTTAAGGGACCATGAAACTGCCCTAAGATTGAGAACCGTGTAAGAACCCTAAGCCCCATACCCCAAACCCTCAACTCTAAACCCTAAACCCTAAGATTCAGAGCCCTCTAAGCCTGCAGCAGCTATCTTTTCTGACCCATCCTAGCCTCGACCTTCAGGCCGATAAGAAGCCCTAAACCCTAAACCTTCCAACCTCTAAGTCCCAAACACGAAAACCGCGAAACCCTGAGCTTGAAATACCCTAAACTCGAAATACCCTAAACTCGAAAGACCCTAAAGCCTAAATACCCTACCACCCTACAATCCCTAAACCCCAAACACCCAAAAAAAATCCCTAAACTCGAAGCACCCTAAACTCCAAATGCCCTAAACCCTAAACCCTAAACCCTAAACCCTAAACCCTAAACCCTAAACCCTAAACTCCAAATGCCCTAAACTCTGAAGATTTCGCAGAACACTCCCGGGGCATGAAGTTCTGGAGCCTTCCAGCGCAGGGGGCGGGTCTAGGGTTGGGGGGTTTAGGGTTTAGGGTTTAGGGTTTAGGGTTTAGGGTTCAGGGTGAGTTTGAGGCCTATGTTAAAGGTCTTATCCTGCAAGACCCTTTGCCCACAGCTTAGTTTACATAGCCGCCTTTTGGGAAACCCTAAACTTCGAAGACTTGGGATGTTCCTCCTTATATTAACAGTCCTTAATGGGATTGTAGTACCCCCTATTAAAATCTCTATGAAGGACTGTCATTATAACAGGGAACAGCCCAATCTAAGACTCTAAACAAGACATTGCAGGTATAACCAGGAGTAGGTAAAACTCGGCGCGTGGCCCGGAACCCGAATCCAACACCCGAAACACCGAGCAACCTCGCAACTATATGGCATTTAGACCCTAAACCCTGTAAACCCTAAACCCTAAACCCTAAACCCTAAACCCTAAACCCTAAACCCTAAACCCTAAACCCTAAACCCTAAACCCTAAACCCTATAAACCCTAAACCCTAAACCTTATAACTAGGGCTTCTGGCGCTTGTAGGGCCATCTTCAAGCCGCACGGAGGGTTGCGGCTTAGAGGTTACAGGGTTAAGGGCCTACGGTTTAGGGTTTAGGGTTTAGGGTTTAGGGTTTAGGGCCTACGTTATCCCGCCCTGAATGACCCGTCCAGCACGAAATGAGACCAAAATGACCCTCAAGCAAGCCTCACGGGGGCCTTACATCCTAGGAACAACAAAAATGTATGCGAACAGCAACGAAAATGTACTCACGAAACAAAGACTACGCGAACTTGACAACAATGTACCCGGGCTGCGACAACTAGACAAAAGGACCTGTTCGAAACCCCAAACCCTAAACCCCTAAACCCTAAAGCCCTAAACCCCCGAAACCCAAAACCCTAAACCCACACCCCAAACCGGACAGCGCACGCCCCAACAAGAGATTGAGGCGCTTCTCGTCCCGAACGGACCATGTCCAGCGGGTCCTGCTTCTCGAACAAGGCTTCACAGCACCAGGGTTTAGGGTTCATAGGGTTCATGGGGTTCATAGGGTTCATAGGGTTCATAGGGTTCATGGGGTTCATGGGGTTCATGGGGTTCATGGGGTTCATGGGGTTTGGGGTTTAGGGTTTGTAGGGTTTAAGGTTTACAGGGTTTAGGGCCCTGTGCTCCAGCATCCTAAGCCTTAAGCCCTCAAGTGAGACCCCCTAGTTGAACCCAAACCCAGGAATCCCCAGCGCCGTAACTCATCCTGCTGCGCCTCAGACCTTGAACCCACAAACTTTGAACGACGCGGAGCGTGCCCTGTCTCCCTGAGCCCGAAGACTTATGTTCCTAAATTACTAAACCCTCACAACCTTACATGCGCTACAAGCTCCAATATCCTTCAACGTATCCTTCAGACGAGAGAAAATTGCATGCTCACTTCACAAGGCCTTTAAGGGTGTAGAATTTACGCAGTTTGAGTTTAGGGCTCGGCAGAGATTATCAGTTTCAGGGTCGAAGGTTTGTGTGAAGAGCCCTAAACCCTACACCCTGAGCTCTTGTGAAGTTGTTCCGGGCTCAGGGTTTTAGGGCTTCAGGGGCTCCAAACCCTAAACCCTAAATCTAAACCCTAAACCCTAAACCCTAAACCCTAAATCTAAACCCTAAACCCTAAACCCGAAACCCTAAACCCTAAACCCTAAATTCGAGCCGCCCCCCTAACCCCGAACCCCGAGGGTTCGCAACCAGCCCGTACTGCAGGTGACAGTGCTCTCGGTCAAGCTGGCCAAGCCACGGCGAGAGCGCACGCGCAAACTTCGGCAGGCCTGGCGATCGGACCTTGAATTTTAGGGTTCAGGGTTTAGGGTTCAGGGTTTAGGGTTTAGGGTTTAGGGTCTAGGGTCTAGGGTTGCAGGTAAACTTTGTATAGACCCGCCTAAGTCCTAAACTTCAAACGACAAAGCTTTCCAAGCTTCAAGACCGATACCTCCAATGTTTTTGGAAGCCCCTTGCGCAGATCAAAAGCCGAAAAACGATGGGAAATGATTTGACTTAGGGTTCAGTGTTCAGGCTTTAGGGATTAGTTTGCCTTTTTGGGCCGCCTATAAAGTAGTATGGCACTTTTATTCTGGACACAAGAAGAATCCTAATTTAGAGAACTGCCCATGCGCATGAGTCATGATCAGCTTGGAGTGCTAAACCCTAAACCCTAAAACTTTCCGGGTGGGGACTCGGCGGTTCTTCTTTGCAGGCAGAGCACCCGATGCAGCAGGAGGTGGGAAGCGGGACGGAGAACAAGAAGGTGAAGAAGGAGGTCAAGGAGGAGGCAAGCAAGATCAAGGTGAAACAGGAGATGCCACAGGGGGCAAAGCAAGAGGTCAAGGAAGAGAGCAAGACTGGAACGATGAAGGAGGAGGTGAAGGAAGAAGTGAGGGGCGTCAAGGAGGGAGTGAAGGAGGAGGTGAAGGAGAAAGCGATGCACGAGGTGAAGGTGGAGACAAGGGAGGGAGTGAAGGGCAAGTTGAAGCAGGAGGTGGGTGACGTGAAGCAAGTGAAGACGGAGGTGAAGCAAGAGTTGGTGGAGGCACTCTCTCTGGGCTGCGTCCCTAAACCCTCAACCCTAAACCCTAAAACGTGTGTTGGGCCCAACACTCGAGAACTCTGTGCCCAGCCCCAGAGTTGAGTCTTCGTCTGTGAGTGGGTTTGACAGCCCCGGAATATCGGAGCCTACTAACTCTAGGTCTGGCCTTGGGATATTGTGAATTTCCCCGTCTTTGGGTTTAAGAGGATCATATTCAGGCTTTTTTTCAGAGGGCTTCAATAAGGGCCGTCCTAGTAACCCTAAACCCTAAACCCTAAACCCTAAAGCCGTTGATTAGAACGTAGGAAAGGGGGCTCATGTTGGCAGTTACTTCTTTCGACTCCTTGGAAGTTCAGGGCGTGGAGCTTAGCTGAGGGTTTGGGGTTTGGGGTTTTTAGTGTTTTTAGGGTTTTTCGGGTTTTTCGGGTTTTTCAGGGTTTTTGGGGTTTTTCGGGTTTTTAGGGTTTTTAGGGTTTCAGGGTTCAGGGTTAGAGTGTAGGATTTAGGGTTCAGGGCTTAGGGGCAAATGTGATGAAAAGCCGCTACGCTCCCCTGAAAAGGTAGAACCCTAGAAGCCTGACTGGTGACCAGCACTTGAGAACTTTGCGCCCTGCGCTCCATTTAGGGTTTAGGGTTTAGGGTTTAGGGTTTATATAGGGTTTAGGGTTTAGGGTTCAGGGCTTAGGGTTTAGGGTTTAGGGTTTTAGGGTTTCGGGAGGGACCCAAGCTTCGTCTGTGTGGGTATGAGGAGACCAGAACTGATTGTAGGAGCCTACTTGACTACAATGATTTTGGGCAGTCTTGCATTCGAAATGGAGACTAGTTTTCAGGCTCCTGCAAGAGTTGCAAGTACGCCAAACCCTAAACCCCAAACCCTAAACCCTAAACTCAAACCCTAAACCCTAAACCTTGGAACTTCAGGGCTCAGCGTTGGAACTTACAGACGCCCGCTATGCCTCCCGGGACCCTTCTCAGAGGTGGTGCCGGAGATCAAGAATACTGGATCCTTTACACCTAAGTAGCCCCTACATTACCCCTAAGGTCCCTTATGAAGGTCCCTCCTTTTGTCCCTTGAAACGAAGAGGTGAAGCAAGAAGTGAAGCAAAAAGTGAAGGCAGTGAAGCATGAGGTCAAGCACGAGGCCGGCTTGCGTGTGGCGTCGCGCAGCCCGAAGATTGCTGGAGCTTAACGCTTGGTGTTTCGCTAGCCGCGTTGACACCAGGTGAGAAAGGGATTTCCGACCTGGGCTTTGCTTGAGACCCTGTGAACTGAACTAGCTTCAGTCAGTTGATTTCATATACATCTATACGTATAATTACAGTCTGTTGCGGGATGCAGCAAGATGTCGTGCAGGACCTCGCATGGCGAAGCCAGACGCTGCTCAGCTCTTTAGGGTATAGGGTTTAGGGCTTGGGGCTTAGGGTTTAGGGTTTCGGGCTTAGGGTTGCCGGCTCCAGATTATTTGTTTCATGAGCTCGGATCATTTCTATGTCCTTACACTGCATTCGCCTCGTCGCTTTGAGAGAATCCCGAATCTGCACCTTGCTGATCCTTGCTGACTATCGCGATTCGCTGATGTCTGCTGATTTTGTATACCTTTTCGAGAACCCTACAGAGATCGAGCAAGATGACCCCATTCCAAGTCTTCGCCCAGGACCGGAGTGAAGAGGGAACTAGTGGAGGAAGGCCAGCAGACGTGGTCCGTCAAGCAGGAAGACGCTCAGTAGCCCAGTGGTACCCTTTTGCCCTTGTTTGAGTTCCAGGTCCCCTTAATCAAGTTCCCTTATTAGAATGTGGTTACAGGGCTACCAAGGAAGCTGAAGAGGCTCAACCGGTTCGTCCCGGCAAGAGGTGCCGCATCAGTCACGAGAGGCCGGACATATCGCCTCCATCGTTTGAGTCGCGACTGTCAGAGTGGGCAGAGAAATGCCTAGCATTTCAAAGCTCTGGCAAGACGTGGCTGCCCACGAAGCCTTGCTGCCCGGCCAGCCCGTTCCTCGGGCTGGCTGCTGCCCCGTGGGAAGGATGCAAGGAGAACGAGGCGAAAGCGTGCATGCAACGCCTCAGCAAGGTGCAGCTCTGCGAGTTCCGGGACTTCTTCCACCAGAACCCGCACCATGCCCTCTTCAATGATTGCGGCAAGGACCCTGGCGGCTCAGGGCCGCTGGAGAAAGCGCACGGTCCCAAACCTGAGTACTTGCAGGATCCAGCCGCGAAGCAGCACCGCGCAGCCGAGATGATGAAGATGTGGCCCTGGATGCACGACCTTCCGACGCGGGCGTGGGCCGGCCACGGCTGGCTGGTCGAGGAGGACGGCATGCGCAGGCTCTCGCCCACGGGCGGCGGCTCCGCCATGAAGGGCCTCGAGATTTTCGAGGCCTTCGGCACCGTGCCCGAGGAAAGCCGGGAAGCCGCCGGCGCCTCGGCTCCGAGCAGCTCCGGGGCCGCCGGTGCCGATCTCATCACGAGGAGCTTCCGCGGCCTGCAGCGCCAGAGCGGGGTGCCAAACATCAGCTGGGAAAGAACAAAGGGGTCATGGAAAGTTAAGTGGCTGGAGTCCAGCAAGGAGAAGAAGCTCAACTTCCCCATCTCCAAGCGCATGAAGGAGGGCCTCTCTGAGGAGGAGGCGGTGGCGGCCGCGCTGGCGGAGGCCAAGGCGCACCGCGAGGAGCTGGTGCGCCAGGGCAAGCTGAAGCCCCCGAAGCCGGTCACCGCCAAAGCCGCCGAGTCCGCTGTTCGGGGAATTACGCTTAAGCCAAATGGAACCTTCCAGGTGCGAATCTCCAATCCGCGCAGCAAGAAGAGAGAGGGAGGAGGCGTCTTCAAGACGCTGGCGGATGCCGAGGCCAAGTCGCGGGAGCTGGCCGAGCCTTGGGGACTAAATGAACCCTAAAAGGGTTTATGGTTCATATTACCTTAATAGGAATTATAGTACTCAGGGTAATTATATGACCCCAATTTTAGGGTTCATTTCGTCCCTAAGGAGAATCTGGGCCTGCGCGAGCAGGTGGTGCCGGTGGAGCGGCATTCGGAGCTGCCGCACTTCGAGCCGCTCGGGCCGCAGCCGGGAGTGGCATGGGTCCCCGGAGAGAAGGCCTGGCATGCGCGATGCTATGTCGGAGGCAAGCAGAAGCACATGAGGTTCCGCCCCAAGGACTTCTCGGAGAAGGAGGTGGAGAAGGCCTGGAAGCAGGCGGTGGCCTGGCGCAAGCAGCAGGAGAAGGAGAGGGAGCGGGCTGAGAGGGCTCAAAAGCGCTGAAGGCCGAGGAGGCGCGTCCTCCTGACGGGCAAGTCTCCGTAGCACATCGAGTGGGACGTTTGAACATATCTCTCTCACTATAGGATCCCCGCCTTGCATGACTTCGTCAGTAGGCAGACCCTAAACCCTAAACCCTAAACCCTAAACCCTAAACCCTAAACCCTAAACCCTAAAATTGAGTGCATTCGCGCCGGAAGGCAGGGATCCCGCTCATAAGCACGCGCCGTTGCATTGAGTGGCTGGCCACTCACCCTGCTGCTATCCCTAGACCCTATAAGCCCTAAACCCTCTTTTGTATCAGAGCTTTCTGTCGCCTGCCTCCCTGAGCTCTGGTTGCGGCATTCGAAAGAAGCATGGGACATCATACAGGCCTCAGAATGCCCACAACTCGCACCCAACGGCTTGCCCCTGCCAAGGGCATAACCTATAGGGTAGAACAGCCCATCATGGTGTGTGCGCGTATGGACTTGGAGCGCTGGCAAAAGCTTGTGGCAAGTAGGACATGCGGCATAGTAGCCCTAAACCCTAAACCCTAAACCCTAAACCCTAAACCCTAAACCCTAAACCCTAAACCCTAAACCCTAAGGCTTCTAGAAGCACCTCAGGGGTTCCGTGTTGTTTTGGGATGCAGCTTTGGACACAGCCCTAAGCCCCAAGTCGCCCAATAATTGCCCGAAACCCTAAACCCTAAACCCTAAACCCCTAACAACCCCAACGCAGCTCCCAGAATCTCTGAAGTACGAAACAACCCCCCCCCCCCCCCCCCGCAAAAAAAAAAAAAAAAAACATCTAACGTCGGAGATTCGGCACCTCCTGTGGCTTGCTGGGGTTTGGGATTTAGGCTTTGCATGGGAGTTAGGGCCTATAAACCCTCAACCCTAAACCCTCAACCCTAAACCCTAAACCCTGAACCCTCAACCCTAAACCCTAAACCCTAAACCCTAAACCCTAAACCCTGAAGCCTGAACCCTGATCCCTGAACCCTGAAGGGCTAGCGATCCGAAGGCTTCCAGGATCGAGTTTGAGGGCTCATACGCCTGCTCCAGTAGAAACTGGGTTTAAGGGTTAAGGGTTTAGGGTGTAGGGTTTAGGGTAAGCCCTACACTTGGGATGTTCCCCCTTGTACTAACAGTCCTTAATAGGGATATCATATGAAGTACCCCTTGTAGAATCTCTATTAAGGACTGGGAGTATAAGGGGGAACATCCCAACCCTAAACCCTAAACCGCTCCCCTTTCCCCCTCCGTGCTCCCTGAATGACACACACACACACACACCTTCCTTCTCAAGAAGAACCCAGAAGTTTTGGTCCCCAAAACCACGTAAACATAAGGATCCTACTATTGGGGTATAAGGGCCCCCTATACGGGGGACTCTGGAAGACAATGTTTGTACTTGTAGAATCCTTATGTTCATGGTTGGGCCGCTAATACGCATAAACCACACATGACAAACTAGGACCCAGACTCGGGCCTTATTCCCTGGTTTCAAGTTCCCCAATAAGCCCCTCTAAACCAAACATGGGCACCCTCTGTTTTCCTAGGTTACTCTTGGGTCTAGCAAAGTGAGCTCCCCCCACCAAGCCGCTGCCACTCACACTCCACGTTCTCTACTGGGAACCCCCTGTGGTTCCTCGAATTGGACGAGCTGGGCCCTCAGCTGGGTTTAGGGTTCAGGGCTTAGGGCATTTCAGGGTTTAGGGTTAGGGTTTAGGGTTTAGGGTTTAGGGTTTAGGGTTTAGGGTTTAGGGTTTTAGGGCTTAGTCAAGGGTTTATGGTGCTGAGGGTCCGATGAGGCGTGGTTGCAGGCCTCTGGTAAAATCCGACAACTATCCTGCAACACCACCCTGAACCCTGAACCCTAAACCCTAAACCCTAGACACTATTTTGGTCCACATAGGTGCCTCTTGGTTGCTATACAGTACAGTAGTAGGCCTAAACCTCAGAAACCCTGAACCCTAAGCTCTGAACCCTGCCCTAAACCATTGTAGGTGAAACGTCGCGTTGCCCGGAACCCGAATCCAAGCAGGCGGAAGGTCCTGCCACCGCAAATCCCTACTGTAGATAGTGCCTAAACCCGGAACCCTAAACCCCAAACAAACCTGAAACCCTAAACCCAGAAAGCCCCCAAGCAAGCCTCAAGGGGCCTTAAATCCCTAAATCCTAAGTTAGTTTTCAACATCTCGGGCCTATCCGAACAAGAACGAAAAAGCAGTCACAAAGCAAAGGCTAAGCTAACTTGGCAACAATGTACCCGGACTGCAACAGCTAGGCAAAAGTGCGCGTTCGCATTCGCTAGTAAACCCTAAACCCTAAACCCTAAAACCTAAACCCTAAACCCTAAACCCCTAAACCCCTAAACCCCTAAACCCCTAAACCCCTAAACCCCTAAACCCCTAAACCCCTAAACCCCTAAACCCCTAAACCCCTAAACCCCCACAAAACCCCACAAAACCCTAAACCCTAGATCCCACACCCCAAACCGGAAAGCGCACGCCCCGACAAGAGATTGAGGCGCTTCTCGTCCCGAAAGGACCATGTCCAGCGGGTCTTGCCTCTCGGACAAGGCTTGGCAGCACCGGGGTTTAGGGTTTGGGGTTCATGGCGTTCATAGGGTTTGGGGTCTAGGGTTCGGGGTTTGGGGTTTAGGGTAAACCCTAAACCCTAAACCCGAAACCCTAAACCCTAAATCCTAAACCCTATCCCTAAACCCTAAACCCTAAACCCTAAACCTTAAACCCTAAACCCTAAACCCTAACGGGTGTTTGGGTCAGGCCTTGTGCCGATTCCGAACGAAGCCCTGTGAACGACTTCTCGCCACTGGCAGCTGCTCTTTTCAGGACCGAACTCTCTAGGGTCGAGGGTTTCGTCTTCCTAACCCTAAACCCTAAAACCCCAAACCTCTGAACCCTGAACCCAAAACCTCAAACCCTAAAGCTAAACTCCTAAACAAACCCTAACCCCCCTAAGCCCTTTAGGGTTTGGGTTTAATAGCCCAGGGAATCAAGCCCTAATCCCTAGACCCCCACAGTGGACCTTAACCGTATAGCCCCAGAAGCCTCTGCTCGACAAACCTTCAAAACTAGATCCCCTAATCCCTAAACTTGGGATGTTCCCCCTTATACCCTAAACCCTAAACCCTAAGCCCTAAACCCTAAACCCCCAAGCCAGAGGCCGAAGCCCAAAATTCCTAAACTTGGAGACCCGAGGATCCCAAGACCCCAAAACTCAAAGACGCTTGGAACCATGCGCCCTTAGTATGGCCCCTTGCCCTTGTGGATCCGAAGTATGGGCCCTTATGACATGATGTATAGTATATAGCCCTAAACCCTAAACCCTAAACCCTAAACCCTAAACCCTAAACCCTAGAGGGTTATCCCCCCCAGAAAGACCCTGAACCTCAGATGAGTCGTTGAGCCGCTCTTTTCAATTGGCTTTCGAAGGGTTGCAGGGTGCAGGCTTCTGGGCTAAACCCTAAGCCCCAAACCCTAAACCCTAAACCCTAAACCCTAAACCCTAAACCCTAAACCCTAAACCCTAAACCCTAAACCCTAAACCCTAAGCGCCAAACCCGAAACCCTAAGCCCTAAACCCTAAACGTCGAAAGGGCTGGGGGTTTAGGGTGGAGGGGTGGTGAGGTTTGCAGGGTTGAGGGGCAAAGGGTTTTGGGTTGCGAGGCTGTCTTGTTCCAGGGTTTAGGGTTTACGGGTTAGGGGGTTTAGGGTTGGAGGGTTAAACCCTAAACCCGAAACCCTAAACCCTAAACCCTAAACCCGAAACCCTAAACAGAGTACAGGGTGTAGGGGGAGCCCAGGGTCCAAAAAAGCATGGCTAAACCCCACAGGCTAAGCCCCAAATCGCCCCAACACTAAACTAGGTCTCAGAGCAGGCCCTGATTCCACTTTTTGGGATTTCGTACATTCCTTTCCCTAAACCCTAAACCCTAAACCCTAAACCCTAAACCCTAAACCCTAAACCCTAAACCCTAAACCCTAAGCATCCCCTTGAAACCAAAAAGGGCACCTTCATTACTCCTATTGGGGTCTGGTAAATGAGTGTATTGATGTTTCGCTTGTTTCTTGAGCGGGGGCTCTTGATATGGACTGTGGACCGAACCACAACCCCTGAAAACCCACCACAAATCCACAGTTGAAAGCGGCAAACTTCAAATCCTCAGTTCTGAAACCCTAAGCCCGATCACTTGCAGGATAAGTGCCAGTACTCCCATGATGACTGGCTCAGGCGAAACCCACAGAAGGCCGCGTAGGGCGTCGAGACCCTACTGAGCCCTAAACCCAAACCCTACGCCGAAACCCTGAGTGTGAGGACCCTAAACCCTAGATCTTGAAAATCCCTCTACCCTAGAGCCTAATCTAAGTACACTCAGCCCTAAACCCTTTGGGTTTCGGATGGTAAGGGTTGCAGGATATTTAGATTTTTGGGCCGTTTGGGGTTCAGGCTTCGGGTTTGCGGGGTTTTCGGGTTTTCGGGGTTTCGGTTTGGGATTCGAACGCGAAACCCTAAACACCAAACTATATTGGGGGGTCTGGGGCATGTCCCCGGCATGGGTTTCAGAAAGTCACGCAAGCCTAGAGGAGCGATGTTGACAGGGTTTAGAGAAGAGGGTTGGGGGTT